TCGAAAGCTGTACTAAAGCGTGCAGTACAGTATATTATGGCCAAAGGTACTGCAATACTGAAAATACTGGCAGTATTGTACTGTACTAAACCTGCCCGTGCAAAGATTTGTTTGCCATAAACAGTGGTCGAACATGAATGCCTGTATGTTATTGTACGATTGGGGAGTATGCGGACAAAGGGACCTTCGAGACGAGGGGATAGCATGATTTTGTCCCCGGGGGAGCAGATGTATGTATCCCCAAACCGGCTGTGTACGGCCGATTTCAGAAAAGTGAAGAACAACATAGCGTCCATGATGTTGAATGCACGCTTGAAGCAAGTTTTCAGTGAGACACCAACAATTTTGTCGCAATTATTCCAGCGGCAGGCGCGTTCCCAAGCAGCAGCGAACATCAGCAGTGTAACTTCAAATGCTTCGAGGCAACGCCGCGAATCTCCAGTCGAATGCTAAGCAGCTGATGACATCCATGAAGAACAACAACTACAGCAGCACCAGCAGCAATAACGGCCACAGCAGCAGCAGCAGCAGCAGCAGCAGCAGCAGCGGCAGGACCACCAGCACCAGAGGCAGCAGCAGCACTCCCTGAAGCACTTGATCTGCCTGATACAGCAGCCGAAGATGCGCCGACAGCAGTAGAACCAACGCCGACAGCAGCAGCAGACCCAACAGTAGCACCAGCAACAGTCTGGTTCGTTGACATGATGCCAAAAGCTCGAGAAGGCGATCCACAGGGTGCCCTCGCTTGTTGGCGNGGCAGCAGCGGCAGGACCACCAGCACCAGAGGCAGCAGCAGCACTCCCTGAAGCACTTGATCTGCCTGATACAGCAGCCGAAGATGCGCCGACAGCAGCAGTAGCACCAACAGCAGTCTGGTTCGTCGACATGATGCCAAAAGCTTGAGAAGGCGATCCACAGGGTGTCCTCGCTTGTTGGCGGCTGCTGCCTCTGGGTCTGCTGGCTGCGGTGTGCTCAATGAGTGGTGTGGTGGTCGCCTCGGCAAAAACGACGGTTTTCGGAGTTTCTTCGAAACGCAGCGAGAAAAGTGAAAAACACCGTTCGTTTCCGAAATCAGTTGGGAACGCTCATTTCGGTTGATTTCCCTTGTTCGGAACCGATACCCTCTGCTTGCCGAGGGTATAGGTGGTTGTATTTACGGGGGCTCAGAAAAGACCTCGGTTTTTAGCTCTGCTCGAAAACTTGAGGACAGCGGCAAAAAAAAACGCGTCAAAAACGTCGAAGATGTAAGTGGACGACATATAGACTAGTCTATATATAAAATCTGAAATCGGGCTTATCTTCTGGGGCGAAGAAAGTATTTCTTCAGCACAAGTAGCTGCGGCTGGCTGTGAACTTGCGCAAACCCTGAAAAATGACACCGGCATGCCCCCCACTCCCTTTGCCAAAAAGTTTACGGTACATCAGAAGAAAGTATTTAGATTTCTTGTATGCATACAATGGCACACACCATACATCACCATCCAATCGGTCGAGATCATCATCAGAAGACATCCTTCATTCGTGAAACATTTCGCCAGCCGATGATGATGGGTACAGCAAGTTAGATACACCGATGTTACAATCATTCACTACTGTCGTTGGATGCTGGTGCTTCTTTGCCGACACATACTTGTACATGTGTGCAGACTCGTGTACTACACACGACGGTCATGGTTCGGCAGCCCTGGTTACCTCCAATGATAGACAACATGAAGTAAGGCAGACAACATGTGCTTCATGCAGTCAGGCTCCCTCCCGTGTTCATTGTTGAAATGATAATGCTGCGTTTTGTTGGATTGGGTTCACTGGTCACTTGCTTGCAGAAGATTGTACATACATTATCCCGACGACCGAACAAATACCTGAGTGCTTGTACTAAGCAGCGTCTTGCAAAAAACGACGCCGTGGGCCACGGAGGTGTGGTGCAAGGGGGTGAATGATCAAATGTTGGATCGATCTTGTTTCGGCAGAAAAATGAAAATCCTCCAAATAAATGATGACTGGCAGCCAAAGCACCTGGGTTTCTCTGTACAAAGCTTATGCGCACACACGCCCTCTCTCACTCGTCGTCTTCGAGAAGAACGTGGTTCCCAACGGTGCGCGGCCACGGGTCGGGTGTCATCACTAACTGCGCCAGGGAGGAAGGGCAAAATAACAACAGCAGTTCGGCACCACCGCAAGTATGAAATATTCCGTCAAGAAACAAGGTCTCGAATTAAGGAGTACGAACCTGTACGCACGCAAACAGGTTCAGCGGTGAATCCTACTCTACACTCTTGTGTGTTCCCGTACTTTGTTCGACAGGGAGAAGGAACGTCGCGAAAGAAATTGAGCCTTGACTTGATCGTTTTTTACGTGTGTTCGTCCACTGAACAAGGCAAGGCAGAACAATAAACTCTGTGCATCATCATCACTTTCCGCAGTCTAGACATGGAAAAGTGGCCCCACCGCCACACGATGACACGTGCTTGTATCTTTCACAGAGAAGGAAAGAACACGCGCAGCCTCGTCGACAAAAGTGATACGATAGCAACCCTCCTTCCATAACGCTTGCCCGCCAGACCTACAGGACACGGACTAACCACCCAAGACGCTCGTCCCTCCGAGAAAAGGAGCACGTGGGGACGACATACCGACGTCCCCGTAAACCCGTCACTCGGCCCCATGGATTCGGCTCGTCTAAGGTGGACTTACCCCCTGTGGACGAGCATATAATAGCGTATCAGCAAGAGGGAGTGAACGCACGCGACGAACGACTTTTGAAAACAATTAGCAAAAACTCTACAGACACAACACATCGACGGCACATACCCAAGGGCTATGCTCAATTGACTCGAGAATCAGGCAGAGTCTAACGAACGGCAAGCAGGCGAAAAGCACCCATGAACACGCAAGCTTGTCAGACTCTAATGGATCCCTTCTTACTGCCTCATCCCTCGCGGCACTTGGCCTATAAGGCCCATCGCAATCTCTCATTGTTGTCGCTCTGCTCCAAGGTCGCCTCCGGCCCCACCTCGAAAAAATCTCAGCACCACAATCGCTGTGGAGCAAGTATGTACATCCCGCCCAAGCCGTGCAGAGTTGACGAGCAGGAGGAGGAGGCGTTACTTTCCCCGTCACAAGCACATTCCAATATCAAAATCTGTCCGGCTGGCGTTCAGATTCACTCGCAAGCGGGTGGCCAGGCGGTCTCTCTTTACCATCAAGAGAACGAGCACAAAAACAACGGCACAACCGCCGCCGCCGCCCTGTTCGGTCCTTGCCAACAAAACTTCATGCTTACGTCAAACGGAAACCAACAATAATACAAAAAAAAATAAAAGGCAAACGACAGCTTCCCGAAACCTGAGATAAACAGCGACTTTGTACACGAGCGCTGAGCGGGAGAGGGAAAAACAATAGATAATCCCTTCGAAAGAACGTGGGGCATACACACCCTTTTTCAACACGGCCAGAAGCACGACAGAAAACAAACGGGGAAAGGACTACTCTATGTGACAGACAAATCCAGAGCGGCCATGCAAGGAATTCGACGGGGGCGGTTGGGTCTTGGGGTACTCCCACTGGTGATGCCCAAACCCCTCCCCCCCACCACCACCCTCAACCAGTGAGCCCCGCTGAGGTCGAAGGAAGTAAGGCTCCACATACCGGCCACAACCGCGCCGAAGCAATACATTACTACTGCCGCGGGTCGCGTGGCACATCACGCGCTGTGGACCGATTTTCACACTTCTGCTGATGCCGCTCCGCAGGCAGCAAAAAGCAGACCGCGGTGGCGGTGCTGGAAATGTCGGCGTCGGAACGAACCCTTCTCGTTCAAAGCTTCCCGATAACGCATTGTTCGACTACCCTGGCGTGCTCTTCGCCGTGGCGTAATCTCTACAAGTTTGTCCAGCGGGCGTGTGGAATCTCACGTCATGCGACCTACGGCACACACTCACCGCGTATGTATGGTCTGCCACCATTTCCATAATCAAAGCCCTCCTCCGCAACGTACGAGGAAAACCACCCCGAAGGGCCCCGCCGGAAAACACCCCCCGGGTTCCCGGGAACCACGACCCACGCCCCCAAAAAACCATGCGCCGGGGCCCCTAGAGACCACCCGCCGGGGCCCCTCGAGGTAACTCTAGGGAGGGCGAGGGCGAAAGGATGGGGTTTGTTAGAGTAGCTCAACGTTCCCCCCGGCACCTCTGGGGCTCGATGGCGATGATTCGCCACCCAGACCAGCGCGAAGCGCCCGTCGGAATGCTCTCCGGTAATCCTCGTTAGAAAGCACTTCCCCGCTGCTGGATGGAGGGGCGGGGGGCTCCAGCCTGCCGCCGGTTCTACTGCTGTTGCCGCCAACGGTGGTGGTGGTGCCCGTTGTTGCGGCGATGGAGGAACGGTCCTGAGAACGGTCATCGCCGCCGCCCCGGCGCCGTTCCTCGAAAAATAGGTATCCTCTGTCAGAGAAAAAAGAGAGAGCGAGGGCGCAACGTAAATGCTGGTACATGTTTGAAGACCTTTGAGCTTTCGAAGGAAAGCATGCAGTGCAAACTATCGACAAACGCACACGAGCCACTCCGAGGCTCAAGAGTGATACACGAGGGACGCTCTTCCCTCGGCTGGCTCGTGGACCGCTCTTCGGAACGTTCTGTCCTCGACGCCACTAATCTTCCGGAAACAGAACCGCAGGCGCCCGTGTGTGTCGCCCGCATGAAACACGACGGGGAGCAGCGTGAAACCACAGGAACTGCTACAACGATTGCACCGCCGTGCATATGGCGAAAAACACGACAAAAAATCAATACTCGACACCCTCGCGGACGCGAAGGCATAGCAACAACCAAAACGGGCCGTAGAGAAAAAAAAAACGCAAAAAGTATTAACACAACGTTTGCTCTTCGGCCAAAAAACACACGCAAGACCCGATTACGCTGTGATGAACGACCACAGCATGATCCCCTGGATTCGGACCCCATCGTCCCTACAAAAAAAATCCCGCACTGCCGTGCATACATACACCGGTGGAACATGCTACAGCAGTAGCCTTCGCGAGGATATCAATATTCGTTTTAATAGGGGGTAAGGGGTAGGGCTAGGGTTTTAGGGATAGAGATACGATGCCCCCCTCCACAACTCATAGGTATGCTGTAGCAGTACCCTTTGTGAGGTATGCTGCAGCAGTACCCTTCGTGAGGATTATAAGCTTGGTTGTCTTCCCTAGTCTATCTATCCTAACGATATCATTTCCCGCCATTTCAAACCACTTCCTATTCCCCAGTACAGCTGCCGCCTTCTCCTCGCTATTCCATGCCTCAAACATTTCCCTGCACTTCCCTTGTTTTTCCCAGCTCAGTCATGTTTCGTACAACTGACATTCCGCGACTACATGAACACGAGTGGGGCTAGGGAGTAACGTTTGGGATAGGGTGAGGGATACGACCCCCTCTCTTTTTCATAGACGAATAACCACAAAGTTCTTGCGAAGGCGGTCCTGCTGCGGTCATCCGTCACCTGCAGGCCGGGCAGTACGAGTGCTTCGACAGCCACTGCAGCAGGCACGCGTAGTGGAAGAACGTCTTGTTCACGCCGCAGCTGCAAAGCGTCAACATTTCGGGGTCCTCCTGGGACATGGGCACGGGGGCGGGGCAAAATCCAGGTTCGCATGCGTTAGCGATCAGACCATTGACCACATGTCCTCGAGAGGGCGGAGCATCATTCCGACAGGACCCATCACCGGTGGCTAATCATTCCTTCCTGCTTTGCCACAGGTGGCCAACAAAGTGTCGCTAGATACAATGCACACCGTCTATATTTTCGGAAGAGTTGTCACAAATCGACGTATGCCTCCAACGGCGTGGTGCATCACATGTTCACAAAAAAACCTGAAGGAGAAAAATGCACCTTGCAAAACTCCTCCATGCAGATGACACATTCCCTTTCCTCTTCTGCTTCCCCCCCGGGCGCTCGCCTCCCCCCGAGGCCTGCCACCGCGGACGATCCACCACGAAAGCCCTCATTACATGTGCCCTGTCGGGGAGAAGCTCGAAGATGCGAAGGGGAACCGATTGCGCCGCCTGCCGGCATCATGCGCCCTCTTGCGGTGGCGTCCAAGGAGGCAGGCTGCGACGACGACGGCAACCGAAACTGGCCTTGGTCGTCATGCGCTATCTTGTCGCTATCGCTGTCTAAGGCGTCTCCATGGCAGCTGCGGTGTGGTGGTGGTTTGAGTCCAATAGGCGCGGAGAGACATGAGAGGCGGGGGAGGGGGGGGGGGGGGGGGG